GTTCTTAGATCTAACATGGTCCACTGGAAGTTTGCAAAACAACTTGGACAGGTTAGCTACATGGGAAAGAGACTCTGATGTTAAAGCTAGAGTAAAGATTGCAGCAGTATCCTTTCAGGTCAACACAGAGAACCGACAGAAACGTAAAAGTCCTAAGAGGGAGTGCAGTTGTCATTACTGTGGTAAACCTGGACACTGGATGAAAGAGTGTAGAAAAAGCAAGAAGACATTAGGAGAAATTAACAGCTTTACTCAGCTCCTACTCAGTCTACTTATTACTCTGAAGCACCCCCTCCCCACTTCACCGTAGAGCCTAAGTGGCACGGACCACATCAAGTGATGTTGATTACAGCAGCTGCAGTGTTGTGTCAGGGAATGAAAACCTGGACTCATGTATCACACTGTAAAGTTGTTCCCCCACCCACAGGGAAAGGATAGGACACACGGACCAGTGAGGAGCTCAGGGAAGAACCGAATGCAACAGGTTTCGGGGGCCAACCCTGTGGTGAAGACTCCCTCATAGTCCTTCCCCATCCCCTAGTCCATCCTTACCTCACTGTTCTTTAGGTGTCGCAGGAATTAAGAAATAGGGAAAGAAGGAACAACAATAGCAGACTCAGATCGAACAAAGGATACAACCCTAGTGTTTGCAGTCTTTTACAACAAATACTGCTCTGTCGTCTTTTGTTTTCTTTCTTACTCTGTTCAGATACCACTTGATGGCTGTCCCGAGACCCATACGCACTGATCTCCTCACCTGCGTATGAAGCCACAACCTCTAAAAGACAACTAGACCCACTACCGAGCCAACTGTCACGGAAGTTTAATTTAACTTAAAAATAATTTAAATACACAACGCAGAGAATCTGTCACGAATCCGGTCCATGAACTTCCAATTTCATTGACTCTCACACTACACACTGTTGCACATCACCCCGGACTACATTTCCCATCATGCATTGCACTGATTGCACTCAGCACGGATTGCACACAGCTGTTTACACTGATTGCACCCAGCTGTTTCATATCACTCCCTCACTATTTAACACTCACTCTGATCCCTTCCCTCTGCCGAGTATTGTTCAGCGTTTATCACTCCCCTAGCGATAGCGACACTACAGAGCTCTCGTTTGTTTCCCTGCCTTAGCCTTGTCTGTTTTCTCCGGTTTCGCATCTTCGCCTGTTTTCCTGGATTCCTCCCTTTAGCCTTGCCCCTGTGACTCTGTCTGCAGTTCATCGACCCACGCTAGCCCTAGGATTATTCTTGTGTTTTGCCCCCCATATACCTGTCTGCCTCTGTTTGACCCTGCCTGCTTTTTGACCACGTCTGTATCTTCTCCAATTAAAGCTTTGCATTTGGATCCGAACGTATCAAGTCTCGTCAGCCCCATTACAGAATCACATACGAACTTCAGTCATCCACCAACATGATCAAGATTGACATTCTTGATCTTTCAGCAAAATTACACCAGATGACTGAAGATAAGTCTTCATGGTTCGGAAACCTGTTAGGTAAACCCTGGCTGTGGATCAAGGAAATAGCAATTCTGCTGTTGTTTTTTCCTACTGGTGTACAATCTATGCGTCCACAGTATAAAGTGTTTCATTCAACAAATGACCCACGCCCATCACGAGGAAATGACAGTTCCAACCAGAAAAGACTATTACCCGTAAGAACTTCACAGACCCTAGCTGCATGTTTGTTTCTGGGTCAGCATGCCGTTTGTCACTACAGACAATCAACACAGAGCAAGTGCTATGTGCCTGTAACGATCACAGGTTACAAGAATGAACTTTTAAGTGTCTACATTTGTATTTTGTGAGAGTTATTAGAACTCTCAAAGGGAGAAATGTGGGATTACAAATTTAAGAATCTGTTTAAAATATGCTGATCCTATGTTCTGACATAGCATCACATGAAAAACTAAGGTGAAGTACATTGTATTTAGCATTTAAGGTAAATTACATCAGACAAATGATTATCTTAAGCAAAGTGTAGCAAGAGATTCCTGTCTGTTCCTGTTCTCTTATTGTTAGTCAAATGAACCAGATTACTGAGACTATCACCTTTTGTTTGTAATGGCTCTTGGTGCCTCTGCCCCAGTCTTTGAGTAGTTATACTGATTGGATTAGCACCTATGCATTTGAATGACACTGTTATGCTGATGAGATCAAGGCTGGGAAAATGCCGGTGTCGGGCTGATTGCCTGTACTTCATTTGCATGCTATGGGTTAGATTGTCTCCACCTCTACTGAATGTATCCCTCCCCCTTAAAATGTATATAAACTACAATGTATCACTGCCTTAGTTAGACTTTTGATGACTGCAGCGCCACGCAGCGCGTTCTCAATAAAGAACTCTGCTGAAGATACCCAAGAGTCTCCTAGTCTCTGCTTCGACAAGGAAAAAGTTTCCTACAGGTGCATACGCCCACATTTCACAATCCAATCAATTCCCGGTGGATAAAATCAAGTCCCGCCCTATATTTTTAGTTGTTCACTTCAAAATACATCACATTACAAAGGAAAATGTGTTGCAAATGTCATTTCACGTTGACTTAAGCAACATAGCTGTGTTACCAATTATGTATGTTGAGTGTACTCTACTCTACAGGGACTTTACTCACAGTCTTTACTCACCAGCCATGACAACAGTGCACATGCTGCCATGCTCATCATAGTCAGACACATGGTTACAGACAGGAAGGGAGGAGTGGAGTTTGTCCATCAGACTGTATATAAGCAAAGCAGAGACACATGCTAATAAGAACTCATTTGACTGTGATTGGCAGAGAGCAGGGAAGGATCAGAGGGAAGTGTACTTTAACCTCCTTCTTTTATCCTTCTGTCCTCTCCCTTACCAGAAAGTAGTATACTTCAAGTTATTTTATTAAGTATACTTAAGTAAAGTTCAAGTATATTTTTAAGTATACTTTATGTAGTAAGTATACAAATATCAGTGTACTAGTAGTATACTTGTAAGTGTACTATTTCAATACTCCTTGGGACTAAATTGGCCCACATTCTAGTATATAAAAGTATACTTTAAGTATAACAGTAGTAAACTTTGAGTACACAACTAGTTTACATCAAAATGTGTAGTTTGTACTGCAACTATACTAAAAGTGAACTTATAGGTATACTGATAGTTTACTAATTAAATACTTGTAGTAGCATTTTTAGTACACTTTGAAGTATAGCCTCAGTAAACTACTAGTTTAGTAGTTTTATACTGCAAGTATACTCGTAAGTTTTCTTTAAGTGAACTTTACATCATACTTTAAGTATACTACTGTGTCCCTATTTAGGTATTAATTTGTATATATTTTGTTACATGAATATCTGAACATACAAATCATCAAAAGAAAGAACAGGATATCTGCTTGTAAACAAAAACATTTTACTCTAGCTTCATGCACTCTTTTTTTAAACACTTGAATGTGGATAAGTTTCATAAATAAACAATAAAGAAATAAACAACATTTTTAACAAAAAAGCTGAAAAAAGACTATGAATTGGATTCAGAATGATAATCAAAACGTAGATAAAGTCGATCAACACCCCAAAGCTTGACAGTTATTATTACCTCTTCATTGGTCAACATTTTATTCCATAATGTTACACAGTTTTTATGCTGTTTTATGTCTGATGATTGTGTTAGATTACATGTGGAAGCATCTGTTGTTTAAGTTTCTTCTTCACTTGTGTTTTTTGGAAATTCTGTAAAAAAGATGTGTACTAGCGCCCCTACAGTATAACAATGAAAACACAGATTCTAGGAGCACAATTATAGCTCAAATATATTTAGACTTTATGTAGTATACTTAAATGTCATTTTAAGTATATTTCTGAGAAGTACATAAAAAGTAGACTAAAAGTATACTTTCCTATTTTTAGTTTAAAAGAAGCATACTAATAGCACACTTGAATAAACTTATTTTTCGTAAGGGCTCCACCTGCTCATCCTCCTCTCTTCTCATTTATTTTTAGACAGCTTAGTTGAGGAGAGGAGGATGTTCCTGAGGCCTTCTGTATCAAGCGCACAGATCCTAAATAAATGATGTATGTGAAACGGAATCATTTATCTGGGTGTTTCTTAACCTATGGATACTTTTATGTCCAGGGGGTTGATTTTTATTAAATTAAACAGATTTCAACCATTTTTTTTGTTTTATGCAGATCACATTAAAAATGTTTCACAATATCTTTGTCATTTGTTTTGGCTACTTTTAAAATCCCTTTTATTTATATATGCATATTTTACCCGGACCTATAATTTCGAAACAACGATAATATAACAATATAACCATAACCAACAGTATTGCCCTTAATAAAGTTTTTTTGAAAAGTGAGTCAGCAGTGTCAATGAAAAGTATGCTTGAGGTGAAATGTCTACAAAATAGAAAACAAAAATAAAACCAAATTTCACTGTTTATTTTCGGACCTGCAAGTTAAAATTGTTTTGTATTGTTTTTGTTTTGTTTATTAGTTTTTATTGTATTTATTTTACATGTTCGAAATAAAGTCTCAAATAAAACAAATAATTTTATTTAAATTATTTTTTATATTTTTATTCTAGATTTCCAGTTCCAATCAAGCTGTAATTTTGTCAAATTCTGCAAAAACTGTGAAAATATTACTTACTGTTGGTACTAAGTATACATTGCTAGCTAGTAAATTAGACATCCCTCCAATAATTTTGGATTATTTGGGGATGTCGAGTTCATCAGTGGTTTCTTGCAGCAGTCTGCCAAGATACGACATGAGACTTTATGTCAGAGGAAATTAAATGAAGAAAGCTACTGTGAGGTCCAAAAGTCCTCTGGTCAGAAGTTTTCAATTTCAACTTTTTATTCTAATAATTTAAAATAAAAGAATCTAATATTTTCTGTTAAATTAGAAAAATGCAAAATAAAGGCATTTTGACCTGTGGTCCCAGACTTTAGGACCCCACTGTATACACCTTATTTTCAGTTTTTGGTGAACTGTTCCTTTAAAATACTAAAAGGGATAGTTCACCCAAAAATGAAAATTCTATAATTAATTATTCACACTAATGTCGTTCCAAACCTGTAAGACCTTCGTGCATCTTCGGAACACAAATTAAGATATTAAATCCGAGAGCTTTCTGACCCTGACAGCAATGCAACTGACATGTTCAAGGTCCAGAAAGGTAAGGACATCGTTAAAATAGTCCATGTGACATTAGTGTTTCAACTGTAAAGTTATGAGGCTACGAGAATACTTTTTGTGCGCAAAGAAAACAAAAATAATGACTTTATTCAACAATTCTTCTCCCCCGAAGGAACTATCTACCTCCGTTATGAACTGCGGTCAAGCCAGCCGCCACTCCGAAATGCACGGTCAATCTAGCCGCCGCGCTGTTTTTACGTGCGCGCATATACTGTGCATTACGGCGATCTTCCGTCGGTCTTTTGCGTGCATTCACTCAGCCAGTTTTTTTAATTATTATTTTTTTAGTGCTTTAAGGCACCATATGTAATTTTCGCCGCTAGAGGCCGCGTATTCAAAATAAACAAAAGCTGTGTCTCATTTAGAAGGCTGCACCCTCCGGAGGTCGAATCCTCTAGAGGTCGCATCCTCTGTAGGATGCATGTACGAAGTGTCCTCAACCAAGAATTAAACGAGAAGGCCTTCGTAGGACAGGCGGAAAAGGAAACCGGAAGTATCACGTTGCTATGCCAACACATTTAGAGCATCGTTGCGCTCTCACACTACTTAAACAAAGGAAAAGTATTTCTAAATTTGGAAAGTAATTTGAAAAAAAAAAAGCTTTTACTTGTTTTATTTTGTTCAATGTTGAGGAACTGCAGCGTACGTACAGCAGACATCTATTAGAGAAAAAAAGGAGGAAGATATTTAAAACAAAGTTTATCTGTTTTTACCGAGGCGAATTAAGGTAAGTTGTAAACACCACATCTGCGCTTGTGTGTACGTTACATCTGCCGGCGCCGGCATTTTTCAAATTAACAACGGTTGTTCACGGCGACGCAAAGAATTGTGGGTTATCTGTAGCAGCGAAGGATACACCTCATGCATCCTCCGAAATCCTGTGAAAGAAGGTCGCATTCGAAGGTCGCATTCGGAGTGTCCTACTTGCTTTTCTGAAATGAGACAGCCTCGATGACGTATGCAGCCTTCGAATGCGACCTCCGGAGGACGCAGCCTTCTAAATGAGACACAGCTAAAGAGACAAAGGCTAGTTTGATGACTTGAGTGTGGAATCATGGGAGTTGTTGTCTTCATCCCCTCAGCCGATGCAATCTGACGGGACTCAGGCAGAAATCATGATCATGGACGAGTTTATGATTTATTAACTTAGTAGAATGAAGCAGGGTGAGGCTGAAGCGAAACGAGGCGCTGAACGAGCGTGACACACGGCTCGAAAGCAGCGGAGCTTTTATTATGCCACAGTCGACCGCTTCCGAGTGTGGGGGGGAAAAAGCAACGCTGTTTTATCATACTAGATACATTTGAAAGTTCTGTTATAATGCTGTGCGGTCGCCACCGGTCTATTAAAAGGCACAACATATTAAAGCGTCTTTGGTGTTTCCATGTTTTCTACAAAACAAAACCGGAAATCGAGGGTGTATGACGTCATTGGCAGGCGACACAATGACACTATGGACACGCTCCGTGTCACTATTAAAATTGCTTATTTCTCTGGATTTAACGTCGAAGCGAAACGAGGCCGCTGAGCGAGCGTGACACACGGCTCGAAAGCAGCGGAGCTTTTATTATGCCACAGTCGACCGCTTCCGAGTGTGGGGGGGAAAAAGCAACGCTGTTTTATCATACTAGATACATTTGAAAGTTCTGTTATAATGCTGTGCGGTCGCCACCGGTCTATTAAAAGGCACAACATATTAAAGCGTCTTTGGTGTTTCCATGTTTTCTACAAAACAAAACCGGAAATCGAGGGTGTATGACGTCATTGGCAGGCGACACAATGACACTATGGACACGCTCCGTGTCACTATTAAAATTGCTTATTTCTCTGGATTTAAACATTCTTCGAAACATTTGGGATAATGTAAGTACACAAGTCAGCAAAATATATAACACTGTTCTAGTGGTTTTTGGATATTTTAATAAAAAAATCTTACATATTGTGCCTTTAACTTATACATACAAACAAGAAAAGGGAAATAAGACATTGTTCTATTTCTTATAAATCACTTCACTCAGCCAGTTTACGTATATTAAAGAAAAAGTTAGCGATTTAATCAACATAAATGAAGATAAATTATGGAGATTACCAGGTCAGCAGCTTGGCGGTAAATGGTTACTCGCGGTTACTCGTGGGAGAAGAATTGTTGAATAAAGTCATTATTTTTGTTTTCTTTGCGCACAAAAAGTATTCTCGTAGCTTCACAACATTAAGGTTGAAACACTGATGTCACATGGATTATTTTAAGGATGTCCTTGCTACCTTTCTGGATCTTGAACGTTTCAGTTGCATTATTTGTGCTCTTCTGAGGGTGTTTGTGGATCAGGGAGTAGGGTGTGAGAGCCCAGGGGAGTTTCTAGAGCTCTGGGCACCTTTCAGTCCAACAGTTCACATCCACTGTCTTAAATTACTGCCAGTAAATGAACTGGAGCAGTGCTGAAGGAGCTGATGGAAAAGCAAGCATACAGTATTTCACCACATCTCAACAGCTGACTGTAATTATGCTAATAATCAATTCTCCACAAATTCTCTGTCTGTTACATTTGCAGTTTATCAGTGACTGTAAATCACGTGTCATGCTTTTATTTTTGTTTCTAAGCTGCTTAATTACTTAGCATGTCTGTAGGCTACTTTACGATTTTAGATAGTAGGAAAGATAGCTGACTGGCCGCAGGGTACTGGTTCTATACTAGTAGGCCTACACAATCTGGTTTTGAATGACTTTAGGTTATAGTAAAAGTATTTACCTTTCAGCAAGCAACTGTAATCCGTGTTCAGCATTAAACGCCTGCAGACAGACAGGTGTTTTTCTGTGAGCGAGCGCCCTCCTGTGATGGGGATTTTAACACGCCACCATCACAGCGTCTAAGACTGAACTGTACAGTGAATATATTGTTGTTAGTGTGCATTATACAGTGAGTATATTCTTATTGTTGTTGTTGTATCTGTTCGTTTAGGTACTTCTGGAACACGAAATGTGGTTGTGTTTATCCTGGCTGTAACTGAGTGCCCCAAAACCAAAAAGTGAAAATTACTAAATGGTAATTAGATGATTACAATTTGTATTAAACCATTACCAAATTATTAGCATAAAACTATTGAAATTGTAATTATTTAAAAGTATCTGATGGTAAACTCCCTTACGAAAATGAACCATGGTTTTATTGTAGTAAAAGTGTAACCATGTTTTTTTGGCATATTAATTACCATTTGTATAACCACAGTTTTACCACAAATACCATAGTTAAACTGGTTAGTGTAGCAAAGCCATGGTTAATTTGTGGTTACCATGGTTAAACTATAGTAACCATGGTGTTTTGGTTTTATTTGTAGTAAAACCATGGTTAATTTCGCAAGGGCTTATAACTGCAATATAGTGGTGAAAACGGCACTATATAACTGAAAAAGCCTCCTACTGTTTTTCCCCCAAAATAGCCACTGGATAAAGTCAAGATACATTTTTATTGTAACTATTGACTACGTTGACAATAGTGATGTAGAAGTATTCACCATGAAGCTTACACAGGTGATGTACCTGAGAGAAAACGGATTTCACAGGGATCTCATTTTCTCAATGATCTCAAGAAAGCCAGGAGAAACGTGAAGGCTCATGATGATCCTTGTCATCATGGTATGCTGAGAGATCCTGTCAGAGAAGAGATTGTAGTGTTGTGATAAGAGTCAAAGCACTATCAATAAAAGAGATGATTACGATCTGCGACTAATAAGCATGAATAATACGTGGAAAATGAACATTCCATCAAATATGCATGATTTACCATCTTAAATGCCACAAAGGATTAGAGGAATAGAGAGAGTGAGAGAAAAGGACTCTTACTGTCATTGGTTCCTCTTTCTCTGTCTCGTGGTGCATGAACTGAGAATCAGACACAGGTTTACTGATGCTCGACTACAAAAAAGGAAAAAGAAAAGGATGAATTGTTAAGCTTAATAACGTTTGCTAACAAAATTGCTAATCTTGATAAAAGTTTTTAAGGGGTAATCAAACAGTTAAATACAATATATAATACAAAATCTGTTCATTACAAACTATAGGCTATTATCAGAATAACAATCTGAGTGAAAATATTAACATGAATTAAATTTTTACTACAGAGATATAGCCTCTAGTAAAATTTTTCATCAAAATATATTGTACAACCTAACTCGATTGGGTGATTTTCACCTTTACTCAGATTGTCCCCAATCTGGGAAGAGCATCCCATCCAGTGTTCTTACAGTTAACTAAAACTAAACTACTAAAAGAATGAGCAGATTTGAAATGAGTATTTTGTTATTATTTATATACTAGTATATTATTTATTCAGATTTTTTTTTAATTTACAGTTTTTATTTTCATTATATTATACGTTTTAGTGATTTTGTATAGTGCTTTTGTCATTTTTATCTATTTTTCTATTCTATTTATAATTCCTTTTTTCTATTTAGATTTAACATTATTTCGGTTTTACATTGAGTAATTTTGATGCTTAAACATAACTTGTTTACTTCATTTAGTGGCAAGGCAACATTACTCATTTCCATTCAAATCTTTATTAGATATTTATTTATTTTAGCTTTAGTTTAATTACCAAACCAATTTGAATAGGTTTAATTAACAATAACAACACTGCATTCAGATTTTAACATGAGCATATAACTTCTAGTAACATGAAATAGGAATTGAGCAAAACTAATAAAAGTATCATAGGAATTTCCATCTTCCTTAAAAGCATTTTCACTACACATTTTTAAAGCAAACATTTCACTCTCCATCAAAGAATTTTCATCACATCCCCTTTTGCTTTCATGACAGCAGCACTCGAGCTGCACAAGTTTGCATTATATCTGATGTTCGTGTTCCTCAGCATGATTTAAGATGATCCAATGAAAGCAAGAACATCTGAGTGTCTGCACAAGGAGTCACACAATCAATCTGACAAATATACTTATTTGATCACTGAGAAATTGTGCAGAATGTTTCCCATTCGTTTTATGTCATAATGTTTTCAAAATGTTCAAACTTTCTATCTTCACACAAGTCTCAAATGAAATCGTTTTCTATTGAATATTTTTCTTTTTTTCTCTCTCATTTTTAAAAAATAAAATTCAAAGAATTCTCTCTTTAATCTAAAACTAATTTAGCTGCAAGTGTAAAATAAAGTATGGATCTCTCAGCTCTACTCACTGTGTCTGAATAGGAATACTTCTTCATGGGAGGAGGAGGTTTGTGAGTGGGTGGACTGCTGTATAAGAACAGACACAAACACACAATCAATACAATTTTATTCTAGCTTCATGCACTCTTTTTTTAAACACTTGAATGTGAATAAGTTTCAGAAATAAACAATAAAGAAATAAACAAGATTTTGAACAAAAAGATGAAAAAAGACTATTAATTGGATTCAGAATGATAATCAAAATGTAGATAAAGTCGATCAACACCCCAAAGCTTGACAGTTATTATTAACTCTTCATTGGTCGACATTTTATTCCATAATGTTACACAGTTTTGATGCTGTTTTATGTCTGATGATTGTGTTAGATTACATGTGGAAGCATCTGTTGTTTAGGTTTCTTCTTCACTTGTGTTTTTTGGAAATTCTGTAAAAAAAGATGTGTACTAGCGCCTCTACAGTATAACAATGAAAACACAGATTCTAGGAGCACAATTATAGCTCAAATATATTTAGACTTTTTCTAAGTATAAGTCAAGTATACTTAAATGTCATTTTAAGTATATTTCTGAGAAGTACATAAAAGTAGACTAAAAGTATACCTTCCTATTTTTAGTTTAAAAGAGGTATACTAATAGCACACTTGAATAAACTTCTTTTTCGTAAGGGATGCTGATGATACTCAACTATATATCTCAACAAGACCAGATGAAACTTCTAAATTATCTAAGCTAACAGAGTGTGTTAAAAATTATTGTTGACCAATAATTTTCTCATTAAATTCGGATAAGACAGAGATATTACTTATTGGACCAAAAGACAGTACACAGAATCTCTTGGATTACAATTTGCAACTAGACTGATGTACTGTTACTTCCTCTACAGTCAAAAATCTGGGTGTTATATTAGATAGCAACATGTCTTTTGAAAATCACATTTCCCATGTTACAAAAACAGCATTCTTCCATCTTAGAAACATTGCCAAGTTATGAAACATGTTACCTGTTTCTGATGCAGAAAAGCTAGTCCATGCATTCATGAGCTCTACACTCTTAAAAATAAAGGGGCTTCACGATGCCATAGAAGAACATTTTTGGCTAAATGGTTCCATAAAGAACCTTTAACATCTGAAGAACCTTTCGGTTTCACAAAAGGTTCTTTGTGGCGAAATAAGGTTCTTCAGATTACAAAAAGGTAAGAAAGAGATGGTTCTTTAAAGAACCTTTGACTGAATGGTTCTTTGTGGAACCAAAAATGGTGCTTCTATGACATCGCTTGAAGAACCTTTTGACGCACCTTTATTTTTAAGAGTGTAGACTGGACTATTGTAATGCACTGCTAAGGTGGTTGTCCTGCATATTCAATAAACAAGCTACAGTTAGTATCGTCTGTTTGATTATGTCTTTAATTGATTTTTCCGTACATTTCTGCCATATGTACATTAACGGACAGTCACCACTAAGCTACCACTAAATATTGTAGAAACTTAATTTGCTGTAAAGTTGCTTTGCAACGATTTGTATCGTGAATGAATTGAATGTCAAATGAATTTCACATCTGTGTTTTATTTGTTTTGTGTAATAATGATAATGACTAACTGACATTACACACAGCTCATAAAAACAGCACATACTTGAGCTTGAATGACATAATTATCCCATCACACAAGACAGCTGATTCATTGGAGAAAAAGCCTTTAGCAGTATACCACAAACACAGAAAGAGATGGAGAGAGATTGTGAGTTGTAGAGGAAGTGAAGGTCACTGCAGAGGCAGAATGTAAGTGCGTGCGTGCGTGTGTGTGTGTGTGTGTGTGTGTGGAGCAATGGTGCAAGAAAGCAGGGAAAAAACTCAATCAATCATCAATGTGACATCTCCGTTTATAAACTCCAGTCTGCAGCTTAGAATCTCAGACAGAACATCCATGTGAGGCGGTTTACTGCCACATAAACGGGTAGACACAGATATTGCAGTGCATTAACTTCAGTCAGTCACAGCGACCAAGTTGGTCATTAAAGGGATAGTTCACCAAAAATGGAAATTCTGTCATCATGTACTGCAAATCTGCATGTTTAATTTTATTTAAGTGATTTATTTATATTGTTTTATATATTTAATATTCATTGATTTAATTTAATTTAAACATTGCCCTGGTTTCCAAACTTCCATCCAATGTGCTCTTTGAAATGAATTTAGTTTCACTAAATAAAATTTTCCTCTACTGTTTGTCAAAACCAGATTAGAGATAAACGTTTGTCATTTTGTTTATCTTTCCTGTGGCCTTGGCTCATAGTTCAGAGTAACTGAAACTAAAAGCATTTTGAAAGCTCTTGGGCTCAATAAACCACAGTATGCAGTAATTCAGTTACGGTGATTAGCATCGGGTCACATGACCCATCTCTGCCGAGACGATCCTATTTCACACGGTGTGTCTAAAGTGGCAGGTTGATGGGATTCATTTGTTGAATAAACAATTTAAGGTGAATTATGGATGTGTCAATGTGAACAGACATATGCAATTAGGGGGATTATGGCTGTAGACATGATTCTCCGTCAACGTAAGACCACAAATAGACCAAGTGTGTGTGTGCAGAAAGGAAGCCAAGCCTCCAGATCCACGCTTAATAGAGTTAGATTATCAGCATCCATTCTGACTGAGTGGAATTTGACATCAGAGAACATTTCCCATGAGACATCGCATCCTGGTGAATAACAATAAGAGAGAGACAGATCAAAGAGAGATGATGGCACATCTGACACTGGAAACTCAAATGTTCAAACACAAGTTCTGACATATAACCCAGCATTCATGATGAATCCAACCTCTGAAGCTCATGTAATGCCCCCAAAAGCAGCCGGAGGTAAACAAATGAGAGTGAATGTTAACTTTTTAAACCATTTTTTTTTTATGTGGTTCCAGTGGTGGTCCTGACCGACTTTGTGCCCTAGGTGGGTACAATTTTTAACAACTAAAAAAGTAAGATGTGATAGTCTAACTGTATTTTTCGTTTAGCGTGCAAGTAGATAATCACGTTTATTTATATAGCACTTTATGCAATACAGATTACAGAGTATATAATGCAGCTGGCAAACTGTACATTCAGTTAACGTTGCAACAATAAAAAATTTCAGCAAAAAAAAAATAATCAATGATAATATCATTGAACCAAATTACAGGATATGGTTTAACATTAATTTTGCACCCTCATTTAATGTTGAAATTTAAGGTCCTTGCACACTGTGTCCGAAATTTTCGTTCTTTTTTTTTCTTGTGTATTGGTCATCCTTTCATATCAAAATGCTTGCTACGAATGTGAAAATACAGAAAATCGAATCTGATCCGAATTTGTTTTTATATAGCGGATGAAAGCTTAGGAGGCAGTGTGTAAACATGATTGACACAACGTGAGGTCGTATTTATTTTTTAACATGCGAAAATTTTGGAGGAGAGTTTTGGACTCAGTATGCAAAGACCTTTAAGCAAAAACACTGGTAATATCATTGAAACAATGGTACACTGTAATGTTGATTTTACATCAATGCAGTTGAATCAACACTGATATTTCAACCAAAAAATGTCTTTAAATCAACATTATGCTGTGATGTTGATTCTACGTCACTGCTGCTGATTCATCAATGCTAACATATAACATTAACATAAATAATCAACGGTAATGTTGTTGAAGCGATGTTACAATGAGATATTATAGTTCAACACAGCAATGTTCATTCTAAATCACTTTTGTTGAAGCAACATTGAAAACGCAATTAAAATTTTAACAGTTACATCAATGTTGCAATTTGAGTTAAAGGGATAGTTCACCCAAAAATGAAAATTCTGTCATCTACTCGCCCTTAAGTTGTTCCAAGCCTATAAGAGTTTCTTTTTTCTGTTGAACACAAAATAAGATATTTTGAAGAATGTTGGGAGCCAAACAGTTGACAGTAGCCATTGACTTTAACTGTTTGGTTACCCACATTCTTCAAAATATTTTTTTGTGCTCAACATAAGAAAGAAAATCTTTCAGGTTTGGAACAACTTGAGGGTGAGTAAATGATGACAGAAATTTCATTTTAGGATGAACTATCCCAGATAGCTTACGTACGTCTGCAAGATGTCTGTTAAAGGGGTCATATGATGCGATTTCAATTTTTCCTTTCTCTTTGAAGTGTTACAAGCTCTTGGTGCATAAAGAAGATCTGTAAAGTTGCAAAGACTAAAGTCTCAAATCCAAAGAGATATTCTTTATAAAAGTTAAGATTCAGCCACACCTACCTAAAACAGCTCGTTCTAACATGCCCCCACATATCTACGTCGCTATGTGGGAAGATTTGCATAACGCCGCCCAAATGTTCACGCAAAGAAAGAAGGCGCTCACAGATTGTAAGTAAGTTTTTTATATTTAAAGAGTTTTTATATTTTATATATTTAAAGTGAGTTTTTTGGGCAGTGTAGAGTAGGGCTTGTTGTTTGTCATTTCTCCGAACACAAATGCAGACATGGTTTTATGTTTACGTGGCGCGATGCAACGCAACGCGTAAAAAAGACAGGAAAAGTCATTATAATCCATAATTATGTCCCCACTGGACGCAACGAATGCCTCGTTTATAATGGGTTTTCATGTTTTTGAATCATCGCTCCGGCCGGACAGGGCATCACAGTATGGTAGGGGCGTAACATTTCCGTCTCACGCTTGAGGTATTCGGCCAATTGTATTGCAGATGAGCAAACACTTTAATAAATACATCTTGCCGTAAATGCAGACGTTCCGTGATGTATGTCTGCTATCAGGGATCCCTTTAGTGTTGAAACAACATTAACGTTTCAGATACATTTAAATGCAACATCAACATATGAATGATGTTACTTAAGAGCAAGTCAATTCAACTGTAGTGCAGAACAGTCAGAGACAGGAATGTTAAAATGTTAAAAACAATATTTTAAATTTGCTGAACACAAAATTAGAACTATGGATGTAGTATCATTGAAGTCTGTTTATTTAATCTACATAAGAGCAGGCTTACACGACAATGATGTCGAAATTTGACAACGAAAAAATTTGCGTACC